AAAAAAACGTTTCATTAATATAAGAGCAATGAGATAAGTTACTTATATTTTTTTGTAATCTTTTATATAAACTGAATAATTTTTATTTCATTGTATATAAAGCTCTTGTTAAACTATTAACTGTCACATATGACTAGAGATGTACTTTTTCATAATCTATGTCTGCAATTACAAAACTTCGATAATTCACTGATTACTCATTCAAATGTATAAAAAAAATTAATTATTGAGAAACTATAGAAATTATCTTTTATTTAATTAGTGACCTAGATGAATAAATCTTTGTTTTTAATCAAAAATAATTTGCGTCAGATGTTGATGATAAATATGACAGTTTCTTTTTTCTTTTTTACTTAATCTTCAATATTTTTTTAGTTATTTCATTCCAAACTCTTATTCATTCAAGAAATCAGATATTTAATTCAAATAGAGTAAACTATCTTATAAAGATGTTATTCTCTAAAAGATACTGGTGATTATTAAGACATCAGCATTTATGTCTTCTACGATTCTTAATTTCGCTACAAAATATTCACTTTACAGCGGTTCTATTATATGTTCATTAGGAATTGTAGGTAATGTAATAAATATTCTTGTTTTTACTCAATTAAAAGTCTTTCGAGACAATCGATGTGCTTTCTATTTAACTATTGAATCAATTTTTAATTTTCTCTATATGTTGTTTGGTATTTCCGTCAATATTTTAATATCAATATATGGAGATGATGAAACAGGACGTTCACTTATCTGGTGTAAACTTAGATATATCATTGCTCAAACACTTACAAGTTGTTCATTTACTATGGTATGTTGTACTGCAGCTGATGAATACTTTTCCACAAATTACCGTTGTAATTTAAGACAAACATGTACATTGAGATTAGCTCGATATCTTACGTTTATATTGATTTTTATTTGGACTTGTCATAGTATTATATTTGGTTACTTTTCCAATATTATGCCATCAATTGGGTGTACTATATCAAATGAAAACTATCGTCAATATGCAACATTTTTCTTCTATCCAGTTTTAGGTGGTGTTTTACCTATTGTAATCTCATCATTTTTTAGTATGTTAGCTTATCGTAATGTTCGTCGATTGGTTCGTCGACAAATACCTATTATTCGTCGTCGATTAGATCGACAAATAACAGCAATGGTTCTGTTACGTATCGTTGTCTTTATTTGTCTGACAGCACCGTCTATTATTTATCGTATCTATGCAATAAATACACCTGTTTTACGAAATACATCAGCACAATATGCCATCGTTAGATTATTACAAATAATCGCTTTCTCTCTTCTTAATTTAAATCATATGGTATAGTTATTTTCTTATTGAATTTATTTTTTATATAATATTTTTATTTATTATAGAGTAGTTTCTATGTTTTTATCATGTCATCAGCACGTTTTCGCCATCAAGTAAAATATTTTTTGATAAAAAAATGTTGGAAACATATTCGTTGTTGTCATACGGAGAATCTAATTTCACCCGGAAATGCACAAATATTTAATTCAAATATAGAACATGAACAAAATAATTAATTATATTTATAAAAACACACATATTCTTTTTCACTTTATTGATTATACGATCAGATCGTTTGTCAAAATAATCTTTCATTACAAAAAAAAATGATGAATAAGCTATTCTGTTTTACATTTCAATGCAAAAACAAAATGTATTATGAACTCTTCGTGTCTCCTGTAGATAATTGAATTGACTGTATTCTTTTGAACTATCAACGATGAGAAAACATTAAAAAAAACGGTATCTAAGATAATTGAGTTTCAATTTGTTGCTACTCTGGTTTTGATTCTATGTGTTAATATAGGTTAGATTAGTACGGATGAATAAATTCATTTTTAATTCAAATCCAACAAACCGTTAAATTTTCTTTTGTGATCTTTTTCATTTATTTAATTTTCGGAATTGAGCTATTCAACAAAAGTTGTTCTATCGTTAAGAATGATACTTCAAAGTGAAAAAAATAATCTTCATCCTATTATTAAAACATCTGTCTTTGCTGATTACATGAACTTTATCGCAATCTAAGTAGTCGATCCATACAAACAATTCTAGATAAATCTAAGCGTATGAAAAGTATTTCAAGTGATTTCATTGATTCTATTCAATTAAGTGTATAGACTTTAGAATAAATATTCTACGTACGGGAATTAACTATAAAACGAATGAAGATAAATATCATCGCTGATAGTAATACAAATAATAACATAAAATAGAAAAAGATGTTTTTTTTGATCTGTAAAACATAATAATGGAAGTAATTATTAAAATATACGACTTGACTTTCCGCCAAGTAATTTTTTGTTAATTTTTAATGCTTAGTCAACTGAAGAACTCTCAGCCATAGTTGAATTTGTTTACTTGAATAAATCTTTTTAGATAAAGAGAGATCAGAGAAAAGTATTCTCGTCTGTTCTCAATGATATTAACATAAGAAATAATAATAGTTGCCATTGCACACAGGTGTTTTTAAGAATGACAAGTCTTTTTTTTTATATCGCAGTGCAATTCATATGGTCATTTTTCCAAGTTGATACTAGAAAATACTGTAGTACTTCTTTTCATAATATTTAGTAGTGACTTATTCAAATACATAATGTATATAGATTTAGCAAATATAGAAGTAAAAATTTATGTTCCAGTAAAATCCCATAAAAACTTTAGTATATGATATAAATATTGATTTATGACTATAAACATTGTATACAATTGTTTTTCTATACAATTAAATAATTCGATAGAATGTTTAGTTGACATAAAAGCTAAAGAAACTTGTAAATAGTCAACGGACAATATTTTTTTATTTGAAAACATAAGTTAAATAAGTAAAAGCAAATGAATCACTCATAATAATTGGAAGTTTGAAGCGGAAAACATGACGTTGTATAAATATAGGTGTTGGCAAGAAATCCGGAACAACAAATCTGAAGACATCAATTTATCTTTATAGGAAAGGGGACGTGAGTGTGGATGAGATTAAAGACAAGATACGTTCCTTTAGTCAGACCCTACACTCAAATTTTTCTTTTCTCAATTTTATTTTTTCCGGATTTACTTTTCTCCAGTTTTCTTATTTTCTTGATTCCTTGTCTTTCTCAGAAATGTTCTAAGTAATTCCTGAAACAGATTAAAATCTATTTTCGTTCTACTAAATCTAAATGTTGTCTAGAAGAATATGTCAATTTGTTAATAGTTCTATATTTCAACCAGCCAATAGAATAAAAAAACAATGTTTTTTTTTATTTTATATCTCATTAAAATAGCAAGCATAATACAAAAACCATTGAACGATACACAAACTTTTATTTTTAATGATACATTAGTAGTTATCAATGTCGGCTCAAGTACTTGATGTTGCTTCGAAATATTCACTCTACAGCGGTTCTATTATATGTTCATTAGGCATTGTCCGTAATGTAATAAATATTCTTGTTTTTACTCAACTAAAACTTTTTCGGAACAATCGATGTGCTTTTTATTTAACTGTGGAATCTATTTCCAACATTTTTTATCTCCTCTACTCAATTACTATAACTATTTTAATATCAATATATGGAGATGATGGGACAGGACGGTTTCTTATCTGGTGTAAACTTAGATATATCATTGCTCAAACATTTGCTCTCACTACATTTACTATGATATGTTGTACTACTGCTGATGAATATTTTTCAACGAATTATCTTTATAATCTAAGATATATGTGTACACTGAAATTAGCTCGATATCTTGCATTTGTGTTTATTTGTATTTGGATCATTCACAGTGTTATACTTGGTCTCTTTTTCAATCTTGTACCATCTATTGGATGTGCTATATCAAATCAAATCTATTTACGATATACAACATACTTTACATATCCAGTTTTGACTGGTCTCTTACCAATTGCAATTTCATTATTGTTCAGTCTATTGGCTTATCAGAATGTTCGTCGAATAGTTCGTCGACAATTACCTATTGTTCGTCGTCGATTAGATCGACAAATAACTGCAATGTGTTTTATACGTGGCATAGCGTATGGTTGTCTGGCAACACCTTATGTTAGTTATCGAGTCTATGCTCTTAGTTATCCTATTTCACGAAGTGAACCATTACAATTTGCAATCGGGCAACTAATTCAAGATATTTTTACCTCTCTTGCTTCTTTAAACTTTGCGGTAAGCATTAAAATTTTTTTATATTCACATCTATGATCATTTGTATTTATGTTATAGATCAGTTTTTATCTTTTTATTATATCATCATCACATTTTCGTCGTCAAGTAAAATTTGTGTTAGTAAAAAAATGTTGGAACCAATGGAAATATTTATGTTGCTTTGGAAATAATCGAATTGCTCCGGACAATATAGAACCTGAAGATATTAACTAATCATGTTTTGAATAAATAAATTATAACATGAATATTTTTGATATGCTTACCATCTATGTAAATAGAATGTATCGAAATAAAAAATACTTCATCTCAGTCGTATTTATGTTATTTTCTTATATTTTTACAGACGTTCTTTTCAAATTTAACTCACTTATTATACAATATTGCACGCGTGTTTCAAAACTCCATAAGAAAAGTAAATTCGTATAATTTCTTTTCTTATAAAAAAAGACTCAAATACAGAAAATACATTTTCTTGATCCTTTAGATTTTTCCATGTTTCAAGCTTTGAATGATCAGTGTTGTTTTCCAGTTATTTTCTTAGATATTATGATATAAAGAGACCTAGTAGAAGAACTCGCCAATATGTCACACACATTTATTAATAAAATACTAAACTACCTAATCATCATAAACCTTTACTTGCTAAATAAAATACATTTTGTTTTCATAGTGAATTATTTAGATATTTAGCTGTCACTCGACCTGGAGAAATATCTCTACTTGATAATATAGATATATCAGACTTTTTGAATAGTTGAAAAGTTGGTTGATGGATCTATTTGTATGCTTATATATATTCAATCTCGTCTATTATATTTTATGAATGAGCATCGTTCAGTCAAACATGCTCAAATGATGATCTTTTAGCCAGTTAAATCTATACGTGAAACAGTACGTAATATTACAACAGATTTAACATTAGAAGGTATGAGACATATAGATTATACCATTGAGATGGAAGCAAAATCTATATCACGTCCAACAAGTTTATATACAACTGATACATATGATATTACAAAGATTGGTAACGTCTGGTTCTTACAAAACTCGGCAAATAAACAGTGCATATTAGATAAATGTGCTGTATGTGTCTGTGTTGTAAATGAAGATTTGTGTCTCTTTTGTGAACTAAAATATCGATTAGGTAATAGAAAAAATATCTAATTTTCTTCAGACAAGGAAAAGATAAAAGATCAATTTTTCTTTTAAATTAATTAAATGCAATTCGGTATTATTTCAATATAGTAATACAAATAATAACATAAAATAGTGAAAGATGATTTTTTAATCTACAAAATATAGTAATGGAAGTTATTATAAGAACATTCGACTTTGTTTTCCTTCAAATTAGTATTTTAATTAAACTACTTTTTTATGCTTAGTCGATTAAAGAAGTCTCAGTGAAACTTGAATTTATTTCCTCTGATAAATCTTTTCAGATAAACAAAAAGTATAGAAGATCTTTTCATATACAATAACTAATTATTTGAAAAATAGTTTGTACTCATATTATTATACATTTCTCCAGCAACCATTATAAGTTTTAGAATTGATTTAGGATGATATCAATAATAAATTTATTGTTAAGTATTTCTTTTGAATCATGATTATATTTTACAATTAACAGAGAGACTAAAGAAAAGCATTCTCGTCTGTTTTCAATGATATTAACATAAGAAATAATAATAAATACCATTACATATAGGTGTTTTTAAAAATAACAAGTCTTTTATTTATATCATCGAGCAATTCTTGTCGTCGTTTTTCTCAGTTAATACTGGAAAATGCTGTAGTATTTTTCTTCATAATATTGAATAGTGACTTATTCAAACACATAATGTGTATAGATTTAGCAAATATAAAAGAGAAAAATTATGTTTAGTTATCAAAACGGTTTTTGAAATCACATAAAAACTTTCGTATATGATATAAATATTGATTTATGACAGTATACAATGTATATAATTGTTTTTCTATACAATTAAAGAATTTAATAGAATGTTTGGTTAAAATGAAAGCTGAAGAAAATTGCGAATAGTTAACTAGCAACATATTATATGAAATTGTTTCCATCAATTTATACAATTATATATTCATCCTGTTGTTTTCTCAGAAATTTTTTAAGTATTTCCTAATACAGATTAAAATCTATTTTCTTCAAAAATTATTTTTGCTCTACTAAATCTAAATGTCGCCTAGAAGAATATATCAATTTGTTAATAGTTCTCTATTTCAACCAGCCAATAGAATAAAAACAAACACTATTCTCTCTATTTAAGATGTTATTATAATGTTTAAATAACAAGCATAATACAAAAACTATTGAACGATACACAAGCTTTTATTCAAAACAATAAATTAGTATAGTAACTAATGTCCGCACAAATACTTGATGTTGCTGCCAAATATCAACTTTATAGTACTACTGTTATGTGTCCATTAGGAGTTGTCGGTAATACAATAAATATTCTTGTTTTTACTCAACTAAAACTTTTTCGAGACAATCGATGTGCTTTTTATTTAACTGTTGAATCTATTTTCAACATTTTTTATCTCTTGTTCTTACTCACCGTATATATTTTAACATCAGTATATGGAAATGATCGAACAGGAAGTTCGCTTATCTGGTGTAGACTTAATCGTATCATTGCTCAAACATTTGGTCTCACCCCATTCACTATGATATGTTGTACTACTGTTGATGAATACTTTTCGACAAATTATCTTTATAATCTAAGATATATGTGCACATTGAAATTAGCTCGATATCTTACATTTGTTTTTATTTGTATTTGGCTCATTCATAGTATTATATTTGGTCTGTTTTCCAATATTGTGCCATCTGGTGGATGCACTATATCAAATGAAGTCTATTTGCGATATACAACATACTTTACAAATCTAGTTTTAACTGGTCCTTTACCACTTGTAATCTCATTGTTATTCGGTTTATTAGCTTATCAGAATGTTCGTCGATTGGTTCGCCGACAAATACCTGTTGCTCGTCGTCGATTAGATCGACAAATAACTGCAATGTGTTTTATACGTGTTATAGCTTTTGTTTGTTTGGGAACACCTTATTTTGTGAGCCGAGTATATGCACTTATTCATCCTATTTCACGAAGTGAACCATTAAAATTTGCAACTATGCAATTAATTCAAGCTATTTTTGCGTCTATTGCATCTCTCAACTTTGGGGTAAGCTTAAATTCTTCTCATAATCATGTTTATGACAATTTTTATTTATGTTATAGATCAGTTTTTATCTTTTTATTATATCATCATCACATTTTCGTCGTCAAGTAAAATTTGTGCTAGTAAAAAAATGTTGGAAACGATTAAAATATCTATGTTGCTCTGGAAATATTCAAATTACTCCGGAAAATATAGAACCAAACAATTCAAATATAGAACTTGAAGAAATTCACTAACTATACATTAAATAAATAAATAATTTTTTTTCTGTCATTTTAAAAATTATACTAAACTATAGAAATATATCATGTTTAATAAAATATAAGTCTCTGAAAAGTATTCATAGTACAGCTGTTTGCAAAAAAACTTCCACAAAAATAACTTTTTCTTTTAAACGTTTTTCTAGTCTATAGAAACAATTAGACAGTTCATTGTTATATCGATGAATTATCGACAGACATACTATAGATTAAATATATGAAAGCGTGATTTCTTTCCTTTCTGATAGAAGAAATACAAGAAAACTTAATGAAAAAAATTACAAAAAAATCAGTATCTACACCAACGATAGGCCGTCATCTTCATGAATATGGTTATAGAAATATTTTACCACAAACTACTCATATGTTAACAATTGATCAAAAAAAAGACGCGCTGAATAGGTTATGTCGATGAAAAATAAATGTTTGTCTCTTGTCGATTGTAAAGGTGAACGAATAAAATATTGAGCTATAATATATGACATCATTCGTCAATTACTATCGAAAATTATATTGATGAACTTCGACATTTTTCACATAAAAAGTCAAAAATTTTGAAATTTTGATGTCGCAGAAAGAGTGATATTTGTTTTATATCTCTTTTAAACGCAAACAAAGGAAATGTGAAATTATACTGTGCTGTAGCACTCTTCGTAGTCTATTCACTACAATATAAAATAACTCGAACAGAACTTGTGTATAAGATGATATCTATCGAAAAACTTGTATAAGTGTTTTTGTAAACAACTGTATATATTTAAGTTTAATTCGCATGCATTACATGATAATGTTTAGCATACAGGGTAGACTGGAAAGGACATCTCGATCAAAAATATCAATATCTCCGCGAGATGTCGATCAAAAGAGCTGAAACTTTTACCGGTGATACAGTCTTACTTGAAGTTTTTTTTCGTAGAAACAAAAATCACAAAATCCCTGTTTTTATCTAGTAGGATCACATCAATCAGGATTTTTAATCTGTTATTGGTTCAACAAAACCTACTGAAAAATACTCCTAGTGTAATTAATTTTTTATTCAACAGAATAAAGATAACAATCATTCTTGATACTTTTCCGTGTGATTAGACTAAGCAAATCTTCGAAATCGCTTCTTATTTGTATTCTATTGAGTAAAAAATCTATTAGGCCCGCTTGTCATAGACCAGGCAGACTGTCTTGTGATTTTTTTTTAATTTTGATAAAATTTTCATCTTTGGTCAAAGAATTTAATTATTGATGACTATAGTTCAATGTCACAGACCGAAATAAGTCAAAAAAAAATTAAAATATACTCCGCATGACTCGATTTCAATCTCCGATGCTGAATTTACTTATATCAAAAGTAGACATTGTTTCGAAACATGAATATTTTTTTCGATATGCTTACCCTCTATGTAAATGTAATGTATCGAAATAAAAAATACTTCATCTCAGTCGTATTTATCTTACTTTCTTATATTTTTACACAGATTCCTTTCAAATTTAACCCACTTATTATACAATATTGCACGGGTGTTTCAAAACTCAGTGAGCAAAATAAATTCGTATAATTTCTTTACTTATGGAAACGACTCAAATACAGAAAATACATTTGTTTGATCGTTTGGACGTTCCAAGCTTTGAGCTTCCAGTGTTGTTTTCTAGTTATTTTCTTAGATATTATGATATAAAGAGGCCTAGTATAAAAACTCGCCAATATGTCACAACCATTTATTAATAAAATACCAAATTATCTAATCATCATAAACCTCTACTTATTAAACAAAATGTATTTTGTTTTGATAGTGAATCATTTCGATATTTAGCTGTCATTTAATTGGGACAAAAATCTGCACTTCATAATATAGAAAGATCAGACTTTTTTAAATAGTTGGAAAATCCCGGTTGATGAATCTATTTATATGATTAAATATATTCAATCTCATCTATTATATTTCATGAATAAGTATCGTTCGATTAAACATGCTTAAATGATGATCTTTTTGCTAGTTACACCTGCATTTGAAACAGTACGTGATATCATAAGAAACTTAACGTTAGAAGGTGTGAGATATATAGAATATACCATCGAAATGGAAGTAAAACCATTATCATGTACAACACGTTTATGTACAACTGCTACGTATGATATTATACTAGTTGGTGATGTCTGGATTTTAGAAAACACGCCCAATAAACAGTGTATATTAGATAATTGTCCTATATATGCGTGTGTTTTAAATGAACATTTATCTCTCTTTTATGAACTATAATATCGATTCAGTAATAAAAAAAATATCTAGTTTTCTTCAGAGAAGGAAAAGATAAAAGATCGAATTTTCTCTTGAATTAATTAAATACAATTCAATATTATTTTAATATAGTAATACAAATAATAACACAAAATAGAAAAAAATAATTTCTTGATCTATAAGATATAATAATGGAAGTTATTGTAAAAACATCTGACTTTGTTTTCCTTCAAATTAGTTTTTTAATTAAACGACTTTAATCACTTTTTTATGCTTAGTCGATTGAAGAAGTTTCAGTGAAACTTGAATTTATTTCCTTGAATAAATCTTTTCGGACAAACAAAGAATATAGAAGATCTTTTCATACACAATAACTAATTATTTTAAAAGACTTTTGTACTCATATTCTTACACATTTCTCCAGCAATCATCATAAGTTTCAGAATTGATTTAGGATGATATCAATAATAAGTTTGTTGTTAAGTATCTCTTTTAAATGATGATTATATTTTCCTATTAACAAAGAGATTAGAGAAAAGCATTATCGTATGTTCTCAACGATATTAACATAAGAAATAATAATAAATACTATTATATACAAATGTTCTTGAAAACGATAATTCTTTCGTTTTATGTAGAAGAGCAATTCTTGCCGTCGTTTTTACAAAGTCATACGGGAAAATGCTGTAATAGATCTCTTTATAAAATTGAGTTGTGACTGATTCAAACACACAATGTAGATAGATTTAGCCAATATAAAAACGCTTTTTGAAATCACATAAAAACTTTCGTATATGATATACGTATTGATTTATGACAATATGCAATGTATATAAGTGTTTTTCTTTACAATTAAAGAATTAAATAGATTAATTGATTGAAATAAAAGCTCAAGAAAATTGGGAATAGTTAACTAATAATATTTTTTATCAAATTGTTTCTATAAATTTATATGATTAGATATTTATCTTCTGCTTTTTTACAGAAATTTTTTAAATAATTTCTAAAACAAATTAAAATCTATTTCCTCCAGAGATTATTTTCGCTCTACTAAATCTAAATGTTGTTTAGAAGAATATGTCAATTTGTTAATAGTTCTATATTTCAACCAACCAACACAATAAAAACAAACACTATTTTTTCTATTTTACATGTCATTATAATGTTAAAATAGCAAGCATAATAGAAAAGACATTGAACGATACACAAACTCTTATTCGTAACAATACATTAGTATAGTTCTCAATGTCCGCACAAATACTTAATGCTGCTGCCAAATATCAACTTTATAGTACTACTGTTATGTGTCCATTAGGAATTGTCGGTAATACAATAAATATTCTTGTTTTTACTCAACTAAAACTTTTTCGAGACAATCGATGTGCTTTTTATTTAACTGTTGAATCTATTTTCAACATTTTTTATCTCTTGTTCTTACTCACCATATATATTTTAATATCAATGTATGGAAATGATGGAACAGGGCATTTACTTATCTGGTGTAGACTTAATCATATCATTTCCCAAACATTTGTTCTCACCCCATTCACTATGATATGTTGTACTACTGTTGATGAATACTTTTCGACAAATTATCTTTACAATATAAGATATATATGTACATTGAAATTAGCTCGATATCTTACATTTGTTTTTATTTGTATTTGGCTCATTCATAGTATTATATTTGGTCTTTTTTTCAATATTGTACCATCAGTTGGTTGTACCATATCAAATGAAGTCTATTTGCGATATACAACTTACTTTATATATCTAGTTTTGACTGGCCCTTTACCAATTGTAATCTCATTGCTATTCGGTTTATTAGCTTATCAGAACGTTCGTCGATTAGTTCGTCGCCAAATACCTGTTGCTCGTCGTCGATTAGATCGACAAATAACTGCAATGTGTTTTATACGTGTCATAGCTTTTGTTTGTTTGGGAACACCTTATTTTTGGAGCCGAATATATGCACTTATCCATCCTATTTCACGAAGTGAATCATTAGAATTTGCAACGTGGGAGTTAGTTCAAGTTATTTTTGCGTCTTTTGCATCTCTTAACTTTGCGGTAAACTTAAATTCTTCTCATAATCATATTTATAATGATTTTTATTTATGTTATAGATCAGTTTTTATCTTTTTATTATATCATCATCACACTTTCGTCATCAAGTAAAATCTGTATTGGTAAAAAAATGTTGGAAACGATTGAAATATCTATGTTGCTTTGGTAATATTCAAATTACTCCAGAAAATATAGAACAAAATAATTTGAATATAGAACTTGAAGAAATTCACTAATTATACATTAAATAAATAAATGAAATTTTTTTTCTTCTATTTTAAAAATTACATTAAACTGTACAAATATATTATGTTCAATAAAATATAAGTATCTGAAAAGTATTGATGTTATATATTTAAATTTAATTCCTATGCATTATATGATATTGATTAGCATACAGGGTGGACTGGAAAGGACGTCTCAGTGAAAAATATCAATATCTCTGCTAGATGTCAATCAAAAGAGCTGAAACTTTTATCAGTGATACAGACTTACTTGAAGTTCTTTTCCGGAAGAACAAAAATCGCAAAATCACTATTTCTATCTAATAGGATCACATCAATAAGGATTTTTAACCTGTTATTGGTTCAACAAAACCTATTGAAAATACTCCTAATGTAATTAATTTTTTATTCAACAGAATAAAACTAACAATCATTCTTATTCTATTGAGTAAAAAATCTATCGGGTCCGCCTGTCATAGGCCATGCAGACTGGCTTGTGATATTGTTTGAATCTTGATAAAATTTTCATCTTTGGTCAAAGAATTTAATTATTGATAACTATAGTTAAGTGTCAAAGACCGAAATAAGTCAAAAAAAATTAAAATCTACTCCGCACGACTCGATTCCAGTCTCCGATGCTGAATCTACTTATATCAAAAGTAGACATTGTTTCGAAACATGAATATTTTTTCGATATGCTCACCCTCCATGTAAACATAATGTATCGAAATAAAAAATATTTCATCTCAGTCGTATTTATCTTACTTTCTTATATTTTTACACAGATTCCTTTCAAATTTAACCCACTTATTATACAGTATTGAACGCGTGTTTCAAAACTCTGTGAGAAAAGTAAATTCAAATAATTTCTTTTCTTATGAAAATGACTCAAATACTTTTATCTCATATGATAAATATCAACGCGAAGTTTTTATTGATATGAACAAACTTTGCAAACGACGTTAAAAGATAACACGTTTGCCTGAAACACAGGAAATACATTTTTTTAATCGTTTAGATTTTTCCATGTTCCAAGCTCTGAACATTCAGTGTTGTTTTATAGTTATTTTCTTAGATATTGTGATATAAAGAGGCCTAGTATAAAAACTCGCCAATATGTCACAAGAATTTATTAATAAAATACCAAACGACCTAATCATCATAAACCTCTACTTATTAAACAAAATGTATCTTGTTTTGATAGTGAATCATTTAGATATTTAGATGTCATTCGATTTCGACAAAAATCTGCACTTCATAATATAGAAAGATCAGATGTTATAAACACAGCTGGCAAATCTCGGTTGATGAATCTATTTCTATACTTACATATATTCAATCTCGTCCATTATATTATATTTCAGAGAAGGAAAAGATTAAAGATCGAGTCATCTTTTAAATTTACTAAATACAATTCAGTATTATTTTAATATAGTAATTAATGTTGCCATCTCTTCTGCTTTTGGCAGAAAAATTCTGCTTTTCTTCTATCATTTCTGCTTTTTACATGTTTTTGTCTTTTATATTTTCAATTAAAACTCTCAATATTTTAACCGATTATTTTGTTAAAATAATTATTTAACACAAAATCAGATTGTAAGATCCGGTTAACTCTGGATATTATTACTTTCTATTACTCTTCCGCCAAATTTTAAAAAACTCTTATGTTTTCTTATTCTCATTACCTTGCAGTAATAGTCATATTGAATCTGTATTTTCATAAATGTAATATTTAGTAAATGACAATTGGAACTGTATGATAACAGAATTAGTGTCAGCTGATTTAAAAATATGTTTGAATGCTACTTTGAAATATGCCGATATGTACAAGTATATATTATCGAACCAGGATATATTGAAAGCTATTAGGTCAGATGAAAAATATACATTTAAAAAAATGTTCAGAAAATGTATTTATCTCTGTTTGATTTTGTGCGCTAGAATATAAAATATAAAGCCAAACGTTCTTATTATTTTATTATGACAGGGCTTAAAGCATAGTTTGATATTAAAAAACACTTTCCGTTTTTTTTCTGCTTTTTTTCAATTAAAATCCTGTCTTTTTCTGCTTTTCGAAAGGCAACAGGTGGTAATACTCACAGTAATACAAATAATAATAATATAAAATAGAAAAAAATGATTTTCAGATCTGTAAAATACAGTAACCGAAGTAATTATAAAAATATTCGACTCTGTTTTCCTTCAAGGTACTTTTTTAATTAAACGACTTTAGTTATTTCTTTTATTCTTAGTTGACTAAAGAACTCTCAGTAAAACTTGAATTTATTTCCTTGAATAAATTTTTTCAGACAAGCAAAGAATATAGAAGATCTTTTCATATACAATAACTAATTATTTTAAAAGAAGGTTGTACTCATATTCTTACACATTTCTCCAGCAACCATTATAAGTTTTAGAATTGATTTCGGGTAATATCAATAATAAATTTGTTCTTAAGTATTTCTTTTAAATGATGATTATATTTTGCTATTAACAGAGAGATGGGAGAAAAGCATTCTCGTCTGTTCTCAACGAGATTAATATAAGCATTAATAATAAATACCATTACATATAGGTGTTTTTAAGAATGACAAGTCTTTTATTTATATCATAAAGCAATTCTTGTCGTCGTTTTTTCAAGTTGATACTAAAAAGTGCTGTAGTAGTTCTCTTCATAATATTGCATAGTGACTTATTCAAATACATAATGTATATAGATTTAGCAAATATAGAAGTAGAAATTTATGTGCCAGTAAAATCCCATAAAAACTTCAATATATGATATAAATATCGTATATAATACAACATTATATACTCTAGATAGAATTGTTTTTCTATACAGTTAAAAAATTCAATAGACTGATTGGTAATATCGCAAAATTTAGAAGAAACAAATCTGGAAATAAAAAATCTAGAAACGATATATCGAGAAATATTTACCGATGCAGATAAAGCAAAATCAGGCCGACTTTTTGCTATTCAGCTTTCGCTATGACTTTAATCAATCGTGGCATTACTATTAAACTAAATTAGCGGATGGTAGTGTGTCATCTCTTGAGCATCTCCTTAACAACTACTCTAGTAATATTGTAAAAAAAAGAACATCGTATGTCAGATTAATAGACCGACGACGGATTGATGTGGATGTCCCTTGATGATGTCAAGAGAACATCTGAACTCAAACATACCCATAGTCACATTTCCTTCCTCGCGTTTGATACTTTTTCTGCTCTCTCTTTTTTTACGAAATAAAAATAAATCTATTTTTTGAAAATTTTCGACTTTCTCTAGTATTTTTTAAGGTTTCTTCTTTCTAGATTTTGCAGCATCTTGGAATATTTACTTGAAATAAAAACTCAAGAAAATTTTGACTGGTTAACCCAAAATATTTTTTTATCTAATAGCATATTATATGAAATTGTTTCTATCAATTTCTATAATTAGATATTTATCTTCTCCTTTTTTTTCAGAAATTTTCTAAGTAACTCATAAAACACAATAAAATCTATTTTCTCCAGAGATTATTCTCGCTTTACTGAATTTAAATGTTCCCTAGAAGAACATACCAATTTGTTAATAGTTCTATATTTAAACCAACCAACCAACAGAATGAAAAGAAACACTATTTTTTCTATTTTATATCTCGTTAAAATGTTAAAATAACAAGCATAATAGAAAAACTATTGAACGATACACAAGCTTTTATTTGTAACAATATTTTAGTATAGTTATCAATGTCCCCAAAAATACTAGATATTGCTGCAAAATATTCACTGTACAGTGGTACTATTATATGTTTATTAGGCATTGTTGGTAATGTAATAAATGTCCTTGTTTTTACTCAACTAAAACCTTTTCGCAACAATCGATGTGCTTTTTATTTAACTGTGGAATCCATTTCAAACATTTTTTATCTCTTATTCTCACTCACCATATATATTTTAATATCACTATATGGAAATGATGGAACAGGAAGTTCACTCATCTGGTGCAAACTTAGATATACCGTTGCTCAAACATTTGTTCTCATCACATTCACTATGATATGTTGTACCGCAGCTGACGAATACTTTTCAACAAATTATATTTATAATATAAGATATTTGTGCACACTGAAATTATCTCGATATCTTGCATTTGTTTTTATTTGTATATGGATCACTCATGGTGTTATACAAACTTTCTTTTACAGTATTGTGCCATCTCTTGGATGTAAAATATCAAATGAAATGTATATACGATATGCAACATACTTTACATATCCAGTTTTGACTGGTCTCTTGCCAATCGTAATTTCATTGTTGTGTAGTTTATTCGCTTATCAAAATGTTCGCCGAATAGTTCGACGACAAATACCTGTTGCTCGTCGTCGATTAGATCGACAAATAACAGCAATGTGTTTTATACGTGTTATAGCTTTTATTTGTTTGGCAGCACCTTTTTGTTGTTATCGAATGTATGCTGTTAATAATCCTGTTTCACGAGATAAACCATTAGAATTTGCAAATCGACAATTAGTACAAGTTATTTTTGCATCTATTGCATCTCTTAACTTTGCAGTAAGCATTAAACTTTTTTCATACTCACATTTATGATCATTTTTATTTATGTTATAGATCAGTTTTTATCTTTTTATTATATCATCATCACGTTTTCGTCGTCAAGTAAAATTTGTACTAGTAAAAAAATGTTGGAACCGATGGAAATATTTATGTTGCTTTGGAAACATTCGAACTACTGCGGAAAATACAGAATTAAATAATTTCAATACAGAACTTGAAGAAATGACTAACTTTACTTCGCATCAATAAATAAATTTTTTGTTCTTTTATTTTTAAAATTACACTAGAACTATATATTATGTCATCTTCAATAAAATATAAGTCTCTGAAACGTATTCATATCATATATTTAAATTTAATTCGCATGCGTTGCATGATAGTGATTAACATAAGATATTTATTGTCTTTCGAAATTAATGTGAAATACAAAATCATTAATATGCATTTTGCTGTAAATGTATCAGGATGGAAAAGAATGACGCATATAATATAATAATTTCACTTTATTCATAATGTATATTATTGATGTAATGTGACATTGATGAAACAGAAAAGAACATATAGTCTACGACTATCGTTGAATTTTATAAATAAGAAATAATAATGCATTATACTTTTCTCCTATAATAATTTATTTTAAGCGTGTAAGTGTAATGTATCAATCTACATTTTAAAAATATATTTAGAATGTCGGAAATATCTTTTATTCAATTATAAGCTTTTTATATGAATGTTAAAAAAATCTAGTGATGAAAGGTAACTTTTTTGGGCGATTATTTGTATCAAAAACAAATGATGGACTATTTTTAAACTTTAATGTAAAAATTATTTCTATCTACGTCTCATAGTTTTATTGCCTGTGTTAAATATAAAATAGATCGATTAATTCTAAAACGAAGTCAAATTGTTTAATTAGGAAATTCAATAGGATTTAGTTTAGATAATCAACGTTTATCAATGCATTTGTTAATTATCTAGCTTTTCGATCATTTGAAGAAGCAGAAAATGGCGAACCTATTGTATTAATTCCTGTTTCATGTTTTATTACTTATAGTGATGAATTTGAAGAGAAAAAAATTGAATTTGATCAATTTGATTCAAATGATAATCAAAATTATTCAGGACGATTCGTTAATCAATATTTTAAATCATATATGTTGAACATCGGTAACAATATTAACTTACGTATTATCAATACACGTGGAATTGGAGATACTCGAGGACTAGAACAAGATACAAAAAGTATTGAACATATATTTTCATATATTACTAACCTTTCATATCTCAAAGCTGCTTGTTTCTTATTAAAACCAAATACAAATCGTCCTGATGCACCATTTCGCGCATGTTTTATACAACTATTCGGTTTTCTAGCACATAATGCAACTCAAAACGTTATCTTTTGTTTTACAAATACTCAAGCGACATTTTATGCATCAGTAAATGTAATCACATTATTAAAAACAACCATAAATACATTACCTATAATCATCATAAATCTCTACTTACTAACCAGAATGTATTTTGTTCTCATAGTGAACCATTTAGATATTTAGCTGTCATTCGATCTAGAGAAATATATATACTTGATAATATAGAAAGATCAGATTTTTTTAAATAGTTAGAAAATGTCGGTTGATTAATCTATTTGTATGCTCATGTATATTCAATCTTGTCCATTCTATTTTATGAATAAGAATCATTCGATTAAAAACGCTTAAATGATGATCTTTTTGTTAGTTAGACCTGCATTTGAAACAATACATAATATTATGAGAAATTTAACATTAGAAGGTATGGGACATATAGATTATACCGTTGAGATGAAAGCAAAAGCTATGTCACATCTAACAAGTTTATGTGCAGCTGCTACATATGATATTACAGAGATTGGTGACGTCTAGATCTTGGAAGAGTCAAGAAATAAACAGTGCATATTAGATAATTATCCTATATGTGCGTGTGTTTTAGATGAACATTTGTGTCTCTCTTATGAACTAAAATATCGAGTCAGTAATAGAAAAAGCATCCAATTTCCGTCAGGCATATAGAAAAGATAAAAGATCGATTTTTCTTTTACATTAATTAAATACATTTCAATATTGTTTTACTAAGTAATACAAATAATAATATAAAATAGAAAAAGATGATTTCCTGATCTACGAAATATAATAATGGAACTGAGTCCAAAACGAGACGAGGCGAGGTGAGAAATGATGCGTCGACTTTTAACGACATCTGTTTTGAACCCAAGCAAAAACGACAAAAATTATTTATGGAATCGTTGATGAATCATAATATACAAGCAAAAAGAAAGAAATTGAAGCAAACAAAAGATGAAGTTGAAAGATATATCGAATTTAATGATCAGAGCAATGTAGTTCTTGATCCATTTCATTTTCGAAAATAAAACGAATGTACTTTTCTATGTTTATCTCGTCTAGCTAAGAGATATTTTTCTATTACATGTAGTTCCGTGAAACGAAAATTTAGTGCTGCAGGACAGATTGTCTCACAACGTGATTCAAAATCAAACCATCAACAGTTAATAATATATTATTTCTACGATCAATTGAAAAAAAACCAACAGAATAAAGATGCCAACTGTATGAAACATTCTTTACAAAAATTTTTTTTATGTTATTGATATTTCTTGTTGGCTTATTAGCAAATAAGATTGTGTTAAAGAAATTAATTAAAAATCTAATACACACACATTGCAAATATCATAAAATTAGATTAAATTTTGAATAAAGGCGATACTCTGAGAATCAGTGTCTATATCATCTAAAAAAGACTGAGGCGAAGCAAACTTTAAAAAAATAATCACGAGGCAATGCGAAGCGAGGTAAACCATTAACGAAGCGAAGAAAGGTGAGATAGTAAAATATTGCCTCGTTTCGCTCTCTGTAACGGATGTTATTATAAGAACATTCGACTTTGTTGTTCTTCAAGTCACTTTTTTTATGCTTAGTCAAATAAAGAACTCTCAACCAAAGTTGAATTTGTTTACTTGAATAAATCTTTACAGATAAACAAAGAATATAGAAGATCTTTTCATATACAATAACTAATTATTTTAAAAGACGTTTGTACTCATATTCATACACATTTCTCCAACAATCATCATAAGTTTCAGAATTGATTTAGCGTGATATCAATAATAAATTTGTTGTTAAGTATCCCTTTTAAATGATGAATTTATTTTGCTACTAATAGAGAATAGATGAAATAAACAAAGAACATTGTATACCGATGTTCTTGAGAATGATAATTCTTTCTTTTTTATATAATAGAGCAGTTCTTGTCGTCGTTTTTCCCAATGAATACTGAAAAATGCTGTAGTATTTCTTTTCATAATAATGAGTAGTGACCTATTCAAATAAATAATGTATAAAGACTTAGCAAATATTAAAACGCTTTTTGAAATCGCATAAAAACTTCAGTATATGATATAAATATTGATTTATGACAATATGCAATGTATATAATTGTTTTTCTATACAATTAAAGAATTTAATAGGAATGGATGTTTGGTTGAAAAAAAAACTCAAGAAAATGAGCCATATTCACAATTCACTCATAAGCCACCAGACAGCAAAAGTGTACCTTGAGTGAGAGGGAGAAACAGAGAGAAATAATATATTATTATACGCGGCTTATCTCTCTTTATCTTTTTCTTCGACTGTAGCGAAAAAGCTGCTTATGATTGACACATAATATCGTCATTCTCTTTGATCTATTCTCTTCCTTTCTAATCGATGAACATAAACAAACTTGTCGCAGAAAATATGAAATAATCACGATTTATCATATCATTCTAATCGATAAGTCTCTAGTCAACTACGACTAGAAGTAGATTTATCATTATTAACAAATTCAAACATACTAAAGCGTTAATCACATTCTTATTTGTTACAAACATAGCTCAAAAACTCCTCTAATAAGTAAACAACATTTACAGTAAAAAAGTAGATATGAATCGTAATCATTTTGAGTAAAGAAACTAGTTAGTAATTTCCCTTTTACATAATTGAGAAAATAAAAATGATCATTTTCATATTTTTTGCAACAAGTTTCTTTATGCTCATCGATTCGAAAAGGAAGAGAACAGATCAAAGATAATAGAAGATAAAAAGAGAATGGCGATATTATGTGTCAACCATAAGCAGCTTCTTCGCTACAGTCGAAGAAAAAGATAAAGAGAGATCAGGCGCGTATAGTAATATATTATCTCTCTCTCTCTTAAGGTACATTTTTGCTGTAGGGTAGCTTATAAACGAGTTGTGAACATGGATTATTGTTATTATTATAAATCACAAATTTTTTTTTTGTTATTTGTTATAAATAACAGATAAATAACAAATAACTTTTATTTTTGAGAA